GGTCTGTCTGCTTCTTCCCTTCCACATTCTCTTTGAGACATGTATAGGGGTAGGCAGTCCATTTTTATTGTCGCTGCAGGCTTCTTTATAAAGCCTGTTTCTTCTACTGATCCATATCCTTCAGAGTGCCTAGCACAGGGCTGAAAATGCAGCAGCTGCTCCGTAAAGACCTATTGATTACACTGGGGGAGGAAATCCCTGAGTAACGTGTGAGGATGCTGTCGAGAGCTAGCAGAAAGTGCTCTGCCAGGCCTGGTGGCCCCACTAGGCATTCTGCCCTTCATCTTTCTCTCCTCCGGCTCTGGCTGTTGAATTTCTGTCATGGACAATCTGAGATATTTCCATCTCCCTGTAAAATTAATTCCCATTTCTGTGTCCCTTTTCAGAATGCCGAACTGGGGAGGAGGCAAGAAATGTGGGGTGTGTCAGAAGACGGTTTACTTTGCCGAAGAGGTTCAGTGCGAAGGCAACAGCTTCCATAAATCCTGCTTCCTGTGCAGTGAGTACGCCCCAGGCCCTGTTGCTGTTGTCTTGGACACCCTGGACAGGCCTGCCCCCACAGGCTGGGCCTGTCAACACCCCAGGGAACTGGTCCCGTGGGATGTAAACAGCTTGACATTTGGCTGAAGCGCAGCTGGGCAGGGAAGCACTTAAGGGCCTCTTTGTTCCGTTCAGAAGCTTCTTTCTAAGGGATAAACTGGCCAGAGTGGGTCGGGGTGGCAGGCGTTCAGGGGCTGAAAGCCAAGCTGTAAAGACTTGGTTAAGAAAACTTTCCACTCAGTTCTCTCTTCTCTCTCTCCCTGCCATGATTTCATCATTTCAGAGTAAAACACTTTCAGCCCTTTGGACCCTAATTATATCTTGTTCAAAGGAAACAGAGGCCACAACCTCATGGCAAAGCTGAGTCTGGAGGAAGAGCAGGGCTCCTCCTTCCTCAGCCCCTTGCAGCCTGGCCCATTCACTTCTTCACTTCCCATTCCCACTTAGCCTGGGATGAGAGGAAGGGGGAGTGCAAAGTTCCCTGATATCTACTCCTAAGAAGCCGGAGCAAGGTTTGCTCCAGTCACAAACCTAGATGAGTACGAAATCAGACAAAAGATGCCAAGCAACTCACAGAGGTCAGGTCGACCCAGGGATCCTGATACCGTGATGCTGTACCCACTGGTACTTGGACCAGGTGATGTTTCCAGGATGTGGCAACTTGGAGAAGCCTCTCCTCAGGTTCCTAAATGAGTTGGTTCATTGTGATCAGAGCAGAAGGCCTGGGTTAGAAGAAGAGGCAAGGTGCATTTTCTTTCCTAAGACAGAGTCTCACGCTGGCACCCAGGCTAGAGTGCAGTGTCTCACTGCAACCTCCACCTCAAATGATCCTCTCACCTCAGCCTCCTGAGTAGCTAGGACTAAACATGCATGCCACCATGCTCGGCCAATTTAAAAAAAAAATTTCAGAGAGACAGGGTCTCCCTATATTACCCAGGCTGGCCTTGAGCTCCTGGGTTTAAGCAGTCTGCCCACCTCAGCCTCCCAAAGTGTTGGGATTACAGGTGTGAGCCACTGTGCCCACCAAGGTACATTCTCCATGAGGGTAGGCAGAATGGATGGTAGCAGAATGTCTTAGTTAAAAAAGATTCGGTGTTTATTATCTGTGTGATGATGGACAAGTTACTCAGTTTCTCTGGTTGAGTTTTCTCATTATTACAGTGGAGGTAATAATAGTTACCTCGTGGGATTGTTGTGAGAATTAAAATGAAAGAAGCTTGTGAAACAAAGCACTTAAAATAATTATGAGTGTTGAAGAAATGATATGCACACACACGCACACATGCACACACACACATACACACATACACGCACACTGCTGAGGGATCTATAGCAAGAGGGTGTGATAAAAGAAGCCCTCACCAGGGGCTGAGGCCCCAGCCCATCTGGGAGATCCAAGAATGGGGTCCTGTCTGTTCCGCATTACATGAAGCAAAGTTTCATGATTTGTGCTCCAGAGTAGGATCCAGATGGGCCAAGAGCCACCTGTTCAATGACCATTTGCATCTCTGCCTGTCGCTAGGCAGACCAACCTGAGGCCACCCCGCATAGGGCAGCAGGGGCCCCACATCCTGCTCAGCTGGGCCTGGAGTGACAGCTCCAGGGCTGTGTCTGATGAATGGGGAGTAAACAAGGTTTAGTGGAGCTTTGTTGGCTTCCAGCCTGCAAAGGAGGCCAGAAACAGCAGCGTCTTGTTATCAGCAGTTCACTACTCTTAGGAATTTCTAAGCCGTTTATCTTTCCAGAGGGAATAAGAGAGAGCTTGGCGCTGGCTGGGAAGGGGGTCTAGGCTGCTGGGATCCTAAGGGCCCCTCTCTTTGCTCTCAGATGTTGCTTAATCACTGACCATAAGGGGTCAACTGTGGGTGGGAGTGCCCGCCTGTAGACCTGTTTGTGGAGTAATCGGTCAGAGCGTTGAGGGAAGTCAGGAATTCAGGGGGTGGCATAGGAAGGAAGGAGCAGGGCCTGGGGCAGGGTGTGAGGGGCGTTGCGGATGAGAAACAGTTGTAGAAAGTCAGGCTGGGGAGCAGGGCTCCAGGGAGGGTGGGGGGCGGTGGATGGGGGTGTTATGCAATGAGCAGCAACAGGAAGCAGTCTCAGGTCACGCTAGGGTCTCAGGGCCGGTGCGGCTCTTGGGTATCAGAGCACCAAGTGGACCCCCTAGCACTGCACATGTCCTAGCAGGCTGAGCCATCTCCACAACTTGCTCATTCCTCATGCCTAGCAGAGTGCCTGGCACACAGTGGGTTCCTGACAAAGATTTGTTTATGAATGGAAGAAGCATCATTTCTCTTTTCCAGTGAAGTGGGTGATAAGTGTCCACCCCATTCAGGGTGCCCACTGAATCAAAGGACTTTCCTTCCCAAAGAAGGGAGAGGCTAGCCAGGTCTGGGCCAAGGGCAGTAAGGGCCACCTCCCTCACTGGCCAGGCCTGGATGGGTCCCCAAAAACAGTTGTGACCGTGTGGGTCCTTGGCTCCAGATTCTACTCAGCTTGCCCACCTACATGCCTGTATTAGTCTACTCTCATACTGCTAATAAAGACATACCTGAGACTAGGCAATTTATAAGAAAAGAGGTTTAACAGACTCACAGTTCCACATGGCTGGAGAGGCCTCACAACCATGGCAGAAGGCAAAAGAGAAGCAAAGGCATGTCTTACATGGCGGCAGGCAAGAGAGCTTGTGCAGGGGAACTCCCATTTATATAACCATCAGATCTTGTGAGACTTTTTCACTATCACAAGAACAGTATGGGGGAAGCTGCCCCCATGATTCAATTATCTCCATTTGGCCCCACTCTTGACACATGGGAATTATTACAATTCAAGGAGAGATTTGGGTAGGAATGCAGCCAAACCATATCAGTGCCCTTTCCTGAGGGTCTGAATGGGCAGAAGGAAGACATGATGATGTCATAGGCAAAGTTGGGGAGAATGACCTTCACTCTGGGCTTGGCCTGGGAGCGGGGACTGAGAAGGCCTGCAGTACACTACCATGGTCTTGAAAGGGGCTGCCAGATCCTATGAGCAGATGGTGGTTCAGAGGCTGGTGGGAAAGCTCAGCTCCATGGCTGGGAACCTGCCCTGAGGCTATGTGCCCATCTCTGAGCTGTACCCACCTCCTTCCTGGGGAAGGTTGGGTTTAGCAGCCAGCTGTGAGGAAAGAAGAGCTCTGTGATGGTGGTCGATGGAACAGGGCCCTGCAGGTTGGCCCTGGGCTGTTCCCTAGAATCCAAGAGCACAGGGGAAGCTCATGGAAGCCTTGTGCACCCTCTGACACCAGTGTCTCCTCACCCGCAGGCTGAGGATTACTGTCACTTTTCACCCTCCCAGCCCCACATGCATGGCCCACTGGAGGGGAGCCATGGCTGGCAGAAAACAACCAGGTCTGGAGGTCAGGGGCTGGGTTCTGGCCTGGGCCTGCATATGGCCAACACGTGATCTGGAACTGTTTTGTGGGCCTTGGTTTTCCTTCCAGAAGCAGAGAATCATTCTCCATTTCTGAGTGGGGTAAGGGGGCTCTGACCTCTCCCCTGGGGCTGCCTTTTCCCTGTATTTCCAAGCAGCATCACAAGGGCCCACCGAAGTGGCATCTGGAAGTATGCATTTCCAACAAATCCAGTCTTTTTTTTTCCCCCCCTTATTGGCTTACCGTGATATGGTAGAAATTTATTCAGGCCTGCCTTCAAAATTCTCCTTGATTGAGTCTTTGGTGGATCTTACAAGTGAGCTGCAGAGTCTCTCACTACATCACCTGAATGGAGGTAGAGGGGCAGAAGGCCACCATGGGCAGGATTGGGCCTCTGGGAGAACAGAAGGGCCAAGGCAAAGCAGAAAGGAGCAGGGAGGTCCTAGGTAGGGGAACCATCTGGAAGATGTCAACTTGCAGGCCCTGAGGTCTGCCCTGGGCTGAGTTCCTGGGTCTCCTACTGGAGAGATCAGCCAAAAGATACCTCTGTTCCCCCAAGCACTCTGCCTTCTCTCTGGTCTTGGAATTTTCAGTTCAATTTGGATCTTACAGGAAAACAATTCCAGGCCAATTCCTGACTTCCCACCCTAGAAGGGAATGTTGGAGCCCTTGGCCTGTGGTTTGCTCTCCCTCCTTCTTGGGAACCAGGCCCTGGGGGAATGGTGGGAAGTTCCATATTTGGATGGCCCAGAGTGCTGGAATGAGATAGAGATCTCCAGGGCAGGACAAGAGGGTCCTTATTTAGTCTGAAGTCTCCAACCTGGGGCTTAGGGTGAGAGAGGAGCTGGCAGAGGGCTGGACCTTTTAAAGACAAGAGGATGGCAGTTGCAAGGAAAGGAGCTGAGAGTTTCTCCGAGGGTGGTAAGAGGCGTGGCTTCTCCAGTGGTATCCCTCAGTTTCTATGTTCAGGACATATTTGAGGATGTATCCAACTGAGATGCAGAACTCCAATATTTAAGGAATATGATCAAACCGAATTAAGATTACAGGACAAGTAAAGAAATAGAACGCAGTTGAATCCCTTGAGAGGAGTATGTGGAGGTTAGAAGCAATGATCTCTTGAGGCCGGGGCCTGTCCCTCCCACTTCCTTGTCTCCTGATGGTACTAACTTTATATAATACTAATAAGAGTAGCCAACATTTATTATGCACTTGTTGTATACAGGGTATTGTGCCAAGTACTTCACATGTCAGATCTCATTTGATTCTCACCACTGGCTTTTGGGGCAGACATTATGTTCATTTACAAAATGAGGACACAGAGGCTGGATAGGCAAAATAACTTGCACACAGCTGGAAAGGGAGAGAGCTGGCATTCAATTCTGGGCAGTCTGACTCTTCATGACCCCAGGCTCTGAACTGTTTTAATTTTATTTTTATTTTTAAAAATTTTATTTATTTATTTATTTTTAAATAAATAGAGACAGGGTTTTGCCATCTTCCCCAGGCTGGTCTCACACTCCTGGGCTCAATAATCCTCTAGCCTTGGCCTACCACTGCTGGAACTACAGGCATGAGCCACTGAGCCCAGCCAAAACTGTTTTACTCTGGATAGCTGGGCATAGCTCCCCTCTGAGCTTAACAGAATGAAATAGGAGGCCCACAGCCTTTCCAGCTCAGACCATTACAATCCTTAGTTCCTCCCATTCCACTCTGTCTTACCTCAGGACTCAGGAAGTTCTCAGTGTCTGACCTCGCTTCTTCCCATGGCAAAGTGATTTCTGAGATTAGAAACTTCAAATCCTCTTGTGATTAGCATGAGCTGCATCTCGTTTCAAAGCCCACCATGTTGGGCACTTAATAAATATTAAACATTTCTTATGGGGTATCACATCACCTGCATCTCTTCCCATTGGCTCCCTGCCAGCATGCACAGATAGTCTCTTCTGGATTCCATTGTTGAAGGCAGGAAAACTCTGCCCTTCTTCTTTTCTTTTTTCTCCTCCCTCATTGGGACATACGGTCTCTGTTGAGGGCAGAGTGAGGAACCTCAACAGGCATTGTGTGGCTTCGGGTCAGCCTAGGCTGTTGCCTCTGAACCCTGTGTTGCACTGCGGCCTAGGAAGGTTGGGAGTGCAAAGGACCAAAGGAGACACACAGGGAGTCCTGGAAGAAGAATTGGTGTTGGTCAGCATTTCTAGAGTCAGACATGCAGATCCCATCCCTCTGTCCTCCCACCCATTGGTCATCCCACCTGCCTCCATTTCTAGACAGTTCCTGAAAGATCAGGATATTATGTATGCAAAGAGCCCAGAGAGCTTCAGCTGTAGGAAGCTTGCAGTGAGCAAGCAGCTCACCCCAGCTTCAACTCACCGCATCCACTTCCCCTCCACAGTGGTCTGCAAGAAGAATCTGGACAGCACCACTGTGGCCGTGCATGGTGAGGAGATCTACTGCAAGTCCTGCTATGGCAAGAAGTATGGGCCCAAAGGCTATGGCTATGGGCAGGGCGCAGGCACCCTCAGCACTGACAAGGGGGAGTCTCTGGGCATCAAGCACGAGGAGTGAGTAAAAGATCCTCTCCCAACCTTTTTCTTGAGCTCTCTCCCCCACCCCTGTATTAGGCCTCACATGTATTTGCAACCATTTTTGGGTAAGCAATGGAAGGCTCAGAAAACCAGTTATTTAAAAGGCACCACAGAGCAGCGCCTATGTGTCAGGCTGCTGCAGGAGCTGGGCATTCAGCAGGGACTAAAACAGGCCAGGCTCCTCCCTGCAAGGAGCATGCATTCTATATTTGTATAAGGGTCAGAGCTGGGAGGGGCCCAAGAATTACTTAGTTCAATTTCCTCTTTTTGTTTTTGAAAGGGAATCTTGCTCTGTTGCCCAGGCTGGAGTGCAGTGGTGCAATCTTGGCTCACTGCAGCCTCTGCTTCTTGAGCTCAAGTGATCCTCTCGCCTCAGCCTCCCGAGTAGCTGGGAGTATAGGTGTGTGTCACCACATCTGGCTAATTTTGTATTTTGTAGAGACAGGGTTTTGCCATGTTACCTCCTCTTTTTATAGATGAGAAAGTCCAGCCCAGGCTCAGTGACTTGCCTGGGGTCCCATGGCTAGTGAGTGTCAGAGTGAGACCAGGGGCTCAGGGCAGCACCACTGTCACACCAGCCTCACTCTCAGCCCTGCTGTCTCTCACTACTGAGGAGAAGTCATTTCCCTTTCTTGGAAATGCCATAGGGTGTCATCATCCCCACCACCCCCCGTTACCCCACAGCACTCCCTGGCCTCTGGGTAAACGGTGGCTGTTGGCAGTCAGCCTGGCTGGCTCCTCAGCCTGGGGAGGTGGACGGAAATGATGGATGAGTTACCAAGTTTCAGCCAAGGTCATTGCCCCAGTGGGAATGATTCATCAGCAGATTTCTCCTGGAAAGAATCTGCTAATAGACCAGCTGCAGGAATGAGGGGCAGAGGAGGGCAATTCTTAGCAAATGGGGTGTTAAATGAATCTGGAGTTAACTGGGTGACCGAGGGAAGTATGATGTTATAATGGAAATAACATTGTGCTGAGGCTTGGTTTGTCCATCTGTAAAATGGGAGATGACCCTAGAGGCCCTAGCCTTTGTGACTCTGGCAGAGAGAACTGCCCGCTGCTCTGGCATGAGATGAAGGTAGGGTCATGCCCTCTCAGTGCCAGCCCCACCTGTACTTACATTGTAAGTCACCTCACCCCATGCCCTTCTCCATGCAGAGCCCCTGGCCACAGGCCCACCACCAACCCCAATGCATCCAAATTTGCCCAGAAGATTGGTGGCTCCGAGCGCTGCCCCCGATGCAGCCAGGCAGTCTATGCTGCGGAGAAGGTGATTGGTGCTGGGAAGGTAAGGCGGCTGCTGGGCATGAGAGGGATCGGGGGAGATATCTTCCTGATATGTGGATTCCAGAACTTTTAAATTGGTGACCCTAGCTCTGCTCAGGGCAGCCTGAGCACTGGGGTTTAACCTCTTCCCTTTGTTCCTGTGGATTGCATGTACCTGTGCTTTCCAGTCTCCAAAGAGCTCATATCAGCCATGAGCGGTAACATCCCTAGCATTGATGGACAATGGGCCATTCATAGGGAGTGGCAATGATCAATCTGTATCTCCAATATTGGAGAACAGAATGTAAGGGTACACGGATGGGCTGCAGAGGGTCCACAAAGCCCCGAAAATTATATGCAAAGTTTCATGGGAACATGTCTGCGTCTTAGATCCATAGCTTTTATCAGATTTTCAAAGGATTTGTGATCCCAAAAATATACATTCTGTTTCATGGAATGTGGACTCCCAGAAACCCATCCAAATACCCCCAGGGCAGAGATTTTCAAGATTCAGGCCTTTCAGAGCCTCCTAGGAGGCTTTTTTCCACACTGTTTAGAATTGCCACACATGCTCTTCCCCCATGATATTCTGACAGTAGCCCCCAATCACCAATGCACAGTGAGAATCACTGTAGGAAACCGACAGTTCCCAATTGAGCTGATCACTTCCTTCAGATAGGGCCGCAGTAGAGAAGAGGTAGAACTCTTGCCCCCGGGGTTTGCAGTGTCAGATTAGCAGTCAGAAAATCACAGAGGAGATGTCTTTCAGCTATGAGGCCAGAGAGGATTTCTGGAGCATCATGTGAGGCCT